CCCTAACACTCGCGACCAGGCCCAGTGGCCATCTTGAGAGTGCGCAGCATAGCCGCGAGGGACCTTTTCCCGACCGGCGTGTCAAAGCTCGCCATTGCCAGCTGCGACGTGCTCGTGGTTTCCCCATATTGTGAACGTCCGCGTGCGGGTGCCTTTGCTCTCCGCGTCCCGGGAGCGGACGTTGTATTGTTGTTCGCGGTGTCGCCAAGGGCAACAAAGTGTTGTGTATTTTTTGTGTTGGAACACTGTCTGTTTTGCTGCGCCACGCTAAACGCCTGATTAGTTGAGCACGCGGAGCGGTGCGATACACGCGAGTAGGTGAAGGAGTCGCGGCCCTGTGGCTCGCTAAGCGTGAACTCGCGGTGATCATTCGCTGCACTTAGTAGCGAGGTCACCATAGCCAGAACCATCCAGCCTGAGAAAAACGAATGCCAACTGTAAGTGCGCCCCACGGGGTTGGAGCAGCCCGAGAAAAACGAGCGCGCTCTGGCTGGATCTGGCAGCCCGCGGGTAGCCAAAAGTGGAAAATTAAAGAGCCCCACTGATGAGAGCACTGCTCGGCACTCAGTAGCTGTCACTCAGCCATGCGTGTGGGTCATCCTTGTTAGAGAGCGGTGCCTCGGACCTCCTTCTCGTCCACTGTCTTGGGGGCAGATTGTGACACTGGTGATGAGTTCAATAAGTCAACCCACGCCATCGAGAGCGGCAAAACAAGGCCCTGGCATCTGACGCCATGCCGCTGTACAGAAGGCTCGAGCCGTTTGAGGGAGTCGGGTCTGCCTGGCCCATCTATGAGGACTAAGTTCACGTGTTTCTTCGCGCTATTGACATGCCCGAGGAAAAACAATGGGACGTTTTCTCGGCAAGTTGCGGAACCCAAGTCTTCAGTCTTTTGCTCGACCTCCTAAAACCGCCTACACTGCATGTCAAGATGCCCAGCGAGTTGCTCAGTACACTGCGCTCTCACTTCAGTCTCGGCGTCATCCACGCTAATGGGGTGTTTTCCTTTCAACAACCGGAGCCGCCAAGAAGAGGAGAGCTTTGGGCGGTTCATCGCTGCATTATGTGGTTTGTGGAGTACATGCGCTTTCAGGGACTAGCTGGACTTGCTGCTACGGGACCGTTTCATCTACAACATAAACAACCCCGTCATGCTTAGACGTCTCCTGGAACGTCCCTACTCCTCGCTGGACGAAGTCCTGGACCTTCAGGACGACCTGGACGACCTTCAAGACCTTCAGGACCCAGAAGCTGCAACGGTTACAGTGAGAAGGCCTGGTACCAGTCAAGACTGCGGAGTGGGCTGCTCTCATCACTCACGTCATGTGGAGATCACCCCATGGCCATTCCCACAGAAGTCCTGGTCTCGCCTTCACGTGGATTTCGGGGGCCCCTTCAAAGGCCACTACTTCCTGATGGTGGTCGATGCATTTTCAAAGTGGGTGGAGGTTATAGCTGCCACCACTCCGTCAGAAGGTGCGACCAATACAGCCCTGCGACAGATCTTTGCCGCCTAGATGCTGCCGAACATCACAGTCTTCAATAATAAGCCCGCTTTCGCCTGTGCAGAGTATCTGTCCTTGCTGTCAAAGAACAGAATCCGCCAAATGATGGTTCTTTTGTACCAACCTGCTTCAAGCGGTGCAGCTGAGCGGGTGGTGCAGCTTATTAAAGACAAACTTAAGAAGAGCCAGGTTGGTGATTTTCGTATGCAGGTCACCTTCATACTCTTCAGTACCGAACTACACCTCATAATGTCACCCGCCATGCCCCCTGTCAGCTTTTGCTGAGACGCATGAAGACACCGTTGGACATTCTGCACCCAGACCTTCGGTCCACGGCACTTCTCAAACAGCTGAAACCGAAGCTGGCTGCTGACAGAGACTGCTGTCCTGGGCCATCGCCTGAGCTTCGAGTGCCAGTAATCGCCAGTAATTTTCGTTTTGGCCCACCTTGGTCTGCTAGACAAGTGATCTCCCCTGCAAGCTCCTTCTCTCTGCTTCAACAAATGCAGGATGGAACCACATGGCACCGACATGCTGACCATGTGAGGGCTACCCGCAGGACCAGGCTGGCATTCACGGCAGCGCCAGTTGCAGCCAGTGAGACAACTATTTCGCAAGAAACAGGCACCTCCAGTTGTGCACCGCTACTTGGGCGACAGGCAAGTTCAGTGCCATCTCTGCTAACCACGGCGGAGTCTCAAAGGAATCAAGAGCAGCTCAGGCAGCACCTACTGCTACTGCACCTAGTTCCTCAACACCTGTACCCAGGTGGAACAATCGGCGACGAAGGGCACCAGACCGCTTTTCGCCTACCTAAAACAACGTCGAACCAGCTGGAACTTGTATTTTTTATTTTGTGTACAATAATTTGGAGTGAAGGGTGTAACGAGCGTGTGGTGCCCTGCCTAGCCTATTTTAATTACCTCACCAAGTTCGGCAGGCAACCTTGGTCGTGCTTGAATAATAAACATTGATGAGCGCTGCTCGACAGTCAGTAGCTGTTACTGCGCCATGTGTGTGGGGTTGTTCTTGTTAGAGAGCAGCGCCTCGGTCCTCCCTCTCATCCACGATCTTTAGGGCTGATTGTGACAAATAGCCTGAATCTTGTCGGCACATTGTGATTTGTTTCTGGTGTCGCGTTGTGCCTGCACCACTGAACTTGCATTGCACGATTTCTGAACTTTGCGTGCACAGACGTGAACTGGTTTCGATTGGTGCAGGTGAATCGAACATTAAACAGACCTATCGTAGTTTTCTTTTTTGTTTTTAGTTTGGAAGGAGGGCACATACCCATGTGCCTGCGGCAGCGAGAACGGCAGCAACACTGGCTCGCGGGCTATCATGGGGCACAGACCCGCCTGCTCACCTGCGGGAAATAACGAGCGCTCTTAGTCGCCCATGTGCGCGTCCACGCCCCCACGCCCCCACTGCCTTACGCTTCGTCGGCAGGGCACTCGCAAAAGATGCATGCTTATGCTAAAATGACCAAATCCGGGGTGAAATCCTAGATTGTCCTTAAAGAAAATTTGTTATATCACGGTTGTCTCCCGTTGCACTACATATAGGTCGCAAATACATGTGCCTCTATAAAGCAATGGCAGGGAATAGAAAAACTTCGTTATATCGAGGAATTCGTTATATGAAGATTCTTAATAAGCAGATTTAACTGTAATAAAAATTGTTGGGGTTTAGCTTCCTAAAACAACCATATGATTATAAGGGACGCTGCAGTGGCGTGCTTTAAAAATTTCGACCTCCGGGGTTGGTTAACATGCATCTAAATCTAAGTGCACAGGCCTCAAGCATTTTTTCTTTTATTGAAAATCCGGCCACCGCAGCCGAGATTCGATCCTACGACTTGTGGCTCAGCAGCCTTAGCCACTAGGCCACGGTGGCAGGTGAAATTTAGAGAAAGATTGTTGGGCTTCTGGATCAAAAACATTGAGCTCATACTGGCAAACAATCACTGATTTCACTCTTATTGTGTAATACATGTTGTGCTGGACATTCAGGGCAGTTAAACACGGCATATTCATGTTTACTTCACTGGGAGTGAGTTGGGGAAAGGGTTCTTGCTAGGATCTGCCAGCCGCATGCCAACCGTCCTGGGTAAGTCTTAAACAGCTTCACCGTTAAAAGCCATTGGGAAACATGTGACATCAAGATCATTAACCTTTCTGGCGGAGTGATTCTAAATTGAAACCTAAATTTCGTAGGTCAGTCATTAAGCACCTGGTAAATGTGAAGTACTGGTTTTCAAGGCCTCATATTAGCGTGATAGTGTTAAAGAGCTTGTTTCGCAGAAATTCCAGCGTCAGTGTCAGCATCATTGATTGTGAGTGAAAAGTAATCATCTTTTTCCTGACCACAAATCGAGAAAGGTGCAAATAAAATAAATAATGAACATTTCTGGGTGGTGTTATATTACGCAGCTCTGCATCTGCTTGGAAATACAGTGAAAATAGCTTCCTCTGTTTGGAAATGCAGTTGCAATAACTTTCATGCCTTACAAACAGAAACATCCTGTATACAGGCTTCACAATGCAACTTGTAATAACGCAGTAATATTGCATGATACAAGCGCACATTGCCATCACGTGTGATTATCATAACGACTTCGTGGTTTAATGCCGTCTACCTATTACAAAAGGCACAAAATTACTGCTCTTATTCTATGAAGGCCACTAGTGGGTGCATAGCAAGAAAACATTTCATGCTCATAATTGCTCTTTGTTTAAAACATGCTGGTCATTACACAGAATGCAACCATATATGTGAAAGCTTCAATGACACAAGCCACTTTCAAAATAATCGATTACATCATAGTAATATGCAATTTAAGCTTTTCGAGTATCATCAAACAACGACAAGATTGCGCTAAGTGGTTTAAGTTCGCACTGGGTGCAATATATTGCTATTGTGCTCAACTCTTATAGTTGAAGCAAAGGGTCTCCCAATTTTCTAGCATCTACTCTACATGTAGTGCCAACCTGGTACACACAACAAATTGAGTTGTAAAAATTACAGAAGTGGTTGCAGTGTTCGTGCATTTAATTCAAACAGCTTCTTTCACCACGCACAAGTGGTGCATTTATTCTATTTTTGTGTCGCTCATTTTAATTTAGGCTTCTGGATAATATGTCATCCCATTGAAATATTACTAAGTAATAAATAATTCAGCCACAAATTACTCTTGATGGAAAAGTGTGAGCTAAGATTTTATTTTCTTTCCATCGTTTTGGACTACCGTGACCATGCACATTGCAAATTGTGAAAGCCAGTAGCTTACACCTGAAGGGGGCTGAAAGGGTTAATAAATGCGCCTTGTACTTACATTAAAATAACCATGCTGTGTGTCACAGAAGTGTATCGATGTAGGGGCTTAGTTCATGATAGATTTTCAAAGCGACAGGGCCTGCAAACACAAACACGGATAAATTATGTGCTTGTTGTTACTGCCTCTTGCCTCTAAGTGAAGTCTTTGTGCAAATGCAGGTGTACTTCACACGTCACGCCCACTGGACAGGGAACAGCGGCCACACTACTCCCTTGTGGCCCATGTTCGCGATGTGGCTCGCTGGGAGTGGCAGTGCAACAGCAGCATTGAGGTGCTGCTGAGCGATGTAAACGACAACCCGCCGGTGTTTGGCCAGAAGACCTACGAGCTGGTCTTGCCCGAGGACACACCGGCTGGCCGCCTGGTTGCCCACGTGCATGCCTTGGACCGCGACCTAGGTCAGTCATGCGATAGGCATCTGTTGCAGTCCTCTCGCTAGGCTGCACTCATGCCACAATTTACGATACATCCCTACACTAGGTGTGTCATTTTTTATGCAACAAATGGCATGCTAGTGTTCCTGCACTTTTATGTTTAAGGGGTCTGCTCAATGCGTGACTGTGCTGAAGTTTAGCTGCAGTTCCAGCCACGCACTGTCACACCATGCACGATCAGCATCCCCTTCTCCTAGCTCAAGTCAATGCACCTACAACTGGTTCGGGCATGTATGGGAACAGGTTACGTCAACAAAAGAACACTTTATTGCTACGTTTGCAATATCGTCCAAGTGTCGCATAGAGAAATAGTTCGCCTATGAAGAAAAAAAGAGAATGCGGCCTACTCCTTTCATCGATCGGCCGGCTCACGGTGTTTTTGAGGTGATTACATTCAAGTCAGCACAAGTATTTGAACCCTCTTATAACGCTCCCAGATATAATTAACCATCTATCAATTATAATGACAATATTTTAGTGCACTTAGGATTTCCTTGTGCTACCCTTTGAAACTGAGTCCACATACTGCGAACATTTTTCAAAGCATCATATTTTCACATTGAACACTTCTGACAAAGTCAAGGCAAGAATATTGCGCATACAAAGCAAAAAAAGTGCTAAAACAGACATTCTAAAGCATGTGATAGGCACACGCTTGCACGTGCCTCGCTGCTGTTTACTTGCTACGAAGATATTGCAGACTACAGTGAACACTGCGCGCGGATTTCGGGAAGCTGCAAGTTAGGTCTTCTACTCCTGATGCGTTTCCTCACTGACAGAACAGAAGTAAAAAAAAAAGCATGAAGGCTTGCAGTCAGCTTTCGCACGGCAAACTTTTCTGACGCCGTTCTCGGCCTCTACGACAGCTCACGATTATTCAATAATGCCTTCGAACGTAACAAACAATAAAAACAAGAAGCAATAACTTTTTGTTGCATAAAACTTTACTGCGACGCTCACCTCTTTGACGCCACAATGAGCTGCTAAAGATTTTTTACCGTTCCATAACGGCAGAGACCGGTCTATTAAAATAACGACTGCGTGGTTGTGGCCGTGTTTTAATGACAAAGCATCAGAGAAGAGTGATCGTAAGGTGGCAATGATCGTGCCATTTTGACTAATCACCCTTATCACAGCCATCCTCTGATATCTGCTGGGGGAAGTGATGATGGTACAAGTGTGTCATTCTGCTGTTCACAAAATTCTTCTTCGTTGTGTTAAATGGATAGGCTACTTGTTGTGTTAAATTAACAGGCTACTCGCCGCTCGAAGTGGCAGTCCCAAACAATGCTACTCTTGTTGAGGACTTCATTGCCACTCTCAATGTTCCGTGACTATACATTCATTTCTGTGCTCAGCTTCAAGCAGCACCCGAACTAAGGATTGTGCCTCATAATATGAGCGATAGTCGCTGTCACAATCTGGTGCAAAACCGTTTCGATTGTCCCGCCATCTGTCTGTATTTTTTTCCTTCCCATAGACAAAGTATGTTTATTACGAGTTTGTGGTTTTACTTATTCTCTGTGGCTAGCGCTACAAGCAACATTGAGAAGAATAGCCTTTCGGCAGCACTGTGACTTTTTTCTCTCGCTGAAGAATTTAAAATTAGACATAAAACCTACAATTATGAATATTTCTTGTTGGTTCATTGATGAATACTGCACACTGCTTTGGGAAGTGTCAAATTCATTCCCTTTGGCTACAATGTGTAGCGCTGGGCTGGTGCTAACCTCAGCCCTTTCCATGTAGTTGGCCGCCCTCTTTTGCAGCATTCATATCATGACGAAATACAGTAAAACCCCAATAATTCGGACTTCACGAGACGAGAGAGAATGTCTGAATTAACCGAGGGTAGGAACTATCGCAAGTACGAACAGAACACTTGAAAAATGTCTCCTATACTACCATACATTTATTTCTTTAAAAAGTCTGTGATCGCGGTTTGCTTCACAGACGCAATGTGCGACGAAGTGACAATTTCGCGAAGTTCCTGCTGGTAACTGGGTCCGCGCACACTGTGCGAGGAAAACATGCATATGTCCTCCAAAACGGCCAACGCATGTGCAGCCTCCGTCATAGTGTGGCGTGGACGTTCGTCAGCATCACCTACATCCTCGTCAGCCAATCCCCCTTCGCCGTCCAAAACTTCAGCGAAGATAGCGCTGTTGGTCACTGGGCTGGCCACGGCAACATCACTGTCAATTGCGAAGTAATCGCCCAGGGGCACATCAGCTGGCATGATGCTCACATAGTGGTCGTCTTGCTTTTTGCCGGTTTCCTCATCGGCCACCATTCCCTGATAAGCAGCGTTGTGCACGAAGCCGCTATGCCTAAATAAGTTTTTGACTACTGCAGGCAGTGTGTTGTTCCACACGTGTGTCAGCATATGGATTGCGCTTAGCAGGCTTACTTCATATTGCTTGCCTGACTTCATGCCGAGCAACATCCGCTCGAGTACCTGCCGTCGATAGCGGCTTTTCACGAACTGTATGATTTCCTAGTCCATTGGCTACAGGCAAGCCGTTGTGTTCGGAAGCAGGAATAGCAGTTCAATGTTCTCGAGCCCGAACACCTTCATGTGCGCACTACAGTTGTCTAGCATGAACAACACCTTCCAAGCATTGGCGGCAAAGCGGCTGTCGAGATGACGCAGCCAGGCTTGAAAGAGTTTGGCAGTCATCCAAGCCTTTCTGTTGAACCGGTAGTCGATAGGCAGCTGCTTGGTATTCTTAAACATCTGTAAACATATCCCCTACATTCATCCGCTGCCATCCTGCTAACAAACAGCTGGCGCCTCCTTATTCGTTGGATCTCTTCCGGGTTTATTAATATGCCAACCCCTCTCGGCCACCTCAGCTAGCTCCCTTGGCCCGTTGCCGCATGCTGTATTACTTTTTTTTTTATCTGTGCACGGCACGTCCCCTGTCTGGTATACCTGTGGGCCACAGCGGGGTTTACGAACGGTGCGAGTATAGAGACGTTGTTGCTCATAAGCAGATAGCGAGCGAAGGTCACGAAACTGCCCACGCCAGCTGACGGTTGCTTCCTGCAAATACAAAACTTTAAGACTGAACTACATGCATGCAATTTTTAAGCGAAGACGACAGGATTTTCTGTCGCTATGACTGTCGTGAAGGGCTATTCGTCAAAATCGCATTGCATGTTTCTGGGAAACCAGAAAGAATTCGCTTGTGGCCCAGAAAAAATCGTGACTATTTACGTGACATGGTCCGCTATTCTCACTACGGTCGCAAGTTAGGCGACTGCCCTGATTTGTCATTAGTCTTGTTAACGAGGGTTTGTTTTGATGCTTCGGTTGTAGGTTGCTACTGTATTGGTTACTTGCTACAATGTCAACGACGTCGTTGTGACGTACCATCTAGTGCATCGTACCATCTAGGCTTGTGCGGACATTCGAATGTTCTGAAAATTCGAATTGATGGTACAGTATTCGAATTTGATTTGATTCGAGTTTGTATTGTTGAAAACTTGAAGTATTCGCAATGAACGAGTAGGTGTATATCAGTCTACATGTAGCTACTCGTAAAAGTGGTTTCACTGCAGTGTAGGGATGCTAAGCCATGAAAACAGTTGTTCAGGAGAAATCCGTTCTGTTTCACTTCAAATATAAAGGGGCCCTGCAACTATTTTTGAGCATAGTCAGCAAACGCTGCCAATCGGTAGTCGACGCAACCTAAAACATGTCGGCTAAATATTATATCCCAGCACGCGACCTAGGATTTCTAGTAAACTCTGGAAGTCAGATAAAAATTGCTCTCATCTCTCGGCAAATGACGCATAATGTAAAAAATCACCCGTCACAGTCATTGTACCAGCCATTGGCTGATTTAAAAATGGGGTGCTCGATCGTTACTGGGGCAGCCGCGGTTGGCCGTGACTTGTCCACTCATACATGCGCAACTGCAATGAAAAGCCGTGTATTCAAAGAAAAAGGAGAGAGAAAGAATGCTCAAGGTCACAATGTGCACGTAACATATTTTTTTTCCCCACGCCATCTCTCGTGATTTTGCTTCAAGCACTTTTGTTGGGACAAGAAGAAAGAATGCAATCGCTGCATTTGGCAAATCGCAAAAGCCCGCTCATACTGGACAGATTCTAAAAGTTTTTGAGGTGATTAATTCGTGAGGCTGTAAGCTTTTTTAGTGAATCTATTTTGTGACTACTTGAAAACTTGTGGGAAAAACCCTTTTAATGATTATATGATCCTCAAATTGATTGATCATTTTTTCAAGCTTGAGAGCTTGTTTTGCCGACTTATTCGCTCTAAGTTCAATGAATACTGTTACGTGTTTTACAGGTATCACTTGCATCCTGCTGAAAGCCAAATCCTGCTACTTCTCAAAGTTGTTTCAATTTCCTTCAAATGGAAAAAAAAAGCACTTGCAGAAAGGCCTTATTTCAACTAAAAATTATATATTGTGCAGGTTAGTTAGATCATGATAATTACGCCCATTTTTCTTTTATGTCATTTGTTCTATTCAAATTTGATTCGAAATTATTCGACCAAAATTACTATTTGCTTTGAACCTAAAATTCACTATTCGCACAAGCCTAGGAGCATCGTAGCGCACGCTTTTGGACATCCCTCGAGATCACAGCAGTTATCACTCTTGCGGTTGAACGATTGCGAGAAAGAATAGCGGCAAGACGCTCTTATGGCGTGCGCAGGTGGCATGGAAAAGCTTGCAAAAAATAGGGCCATCATTCACTGAAGATGAGTAAAGTGCAACAAAGAAGCTGTTTCCAAACGGTGTACGTGTATGTCAATTGCAAAAGGATGTTGGTTACTTGCTACAATGTTAACAGCCTGGCCACAGTTGTCGTGTGAGGCTGCCACAAAGATGGCAAAGTGCGTCGGAGCGAACGCTTTTTGGGCACCCCTTGAGATCACAGCAGATACCATTGTTGCGCTTAAACACTTGGGAGAAAAGATAGCCGCAAAA